ATACAATTTATGAATGTAATACTAACGTATATGGTACCCACAATTTTTTTATTACGTGATACCATGAAGAGAGATCTTATTTTTACACTTACCTAATGCATAAATGCGTGATATATTTGAGTTATAGGTGCTTATATATGAGGTAAATCATAATTCGTATGATAAAAAGTGTATAATAGTTAATAGTTATGAGGTAACAGAGTATAAACCAGGGGCGTCATTTCAACTTTTGAAAGGGTGGGGCAACTGATTAAATTCTCCGACTTTTTTATTAAAAATAAAATATTTTTTCGGAACCAGGGCCGTATTTAGGAATTTGACACCAGGGAGCAACAATAAAAAACGCCTCATTATACCAAATACAAATTTCTGTGGGTTGAAAAAGATCTTTCTGAAGAACAATTATTTTCTGGTGTACACTAGCTTTTTCAGCAGACTTTATATCTTCTGTATATCCAGTTATTTTATAATCTTGTAAAAACTTAGTACAATTATCCAAAAGTAAAACCACGGTTCTAATATCCATTTTTGAACTTTGCATTGACTTACTAACAAGGTTTACTTTTGATAAAATATCTTGCCAAAAACACAACAAAACTAAAAAATCGAATCTTTCAATGAATTGAATTAATGAATTAACTTCAGAAACCACTAAATGATCAGCAGTATTTAATTTAGTTAATTCTATCAGTGCATTTATTATTTGTAAAATTTCATTTTTAATAGCATTAATAAAATATATTCTACATTCCCATCGAGTTTCGCAAAGTAGCTTAACAATTAAAGATTTTACATGTTTTTTAAGATATGCCAACGTCCAACAAATGCAGAGAATAAAACATAAATTCTTTGAATCGTCCCAAAAAAATTCTCTGACTCAATAGAGCAAGAAACACAGTCTCTGACTACTAAATTCAGTGAATGGCAACCACATGGCATAAAAAATGCTCGAGGATTTGTTCTTAATATTCGTGCTTGAACGCTTTATTTTTGCCCTTCATATTTGCCCCATTGTCGTATTCCCTGACCTCTACAGTTGCTTAGTTCCAGTTTACAATTTTTCAACATACTTAATATAGACTCATAAATTCCTTCACCAGACGAGTTGAATAATGGTTCAAATTCTATAAAATGTTCTTTAATGCACATTTCGTCGATAGCAAAAAATCTCAAAGTCAAAGAAAGTTGCTCAATGTGATTAATATCTGGAGTACAATCTAACATAATACTATAATATTTTGCTTTGCGACCTAGTATATTGTCACGTGTTAAGTTTCCAATTATATTAATAATTTAATGTTGAATAATTTTTCCACAATAATTTACATGCGTTTCACGAGACATGGCACGACGAACGTGTTCATTCATTACTAAATCAAATTTTTCTAACAACTCGACAAGACCCAAATAATTTCCATTGTGATGTGTAAATAACTAATCCGAAAAACCTCTAAATGCTAAATTATTTTTTCCAAGAAAAATTGTAATTTCAATTAATCGTTCTAAAACTTTTTTCCAATGTTCTCTTTCATCAACTATTTGTTTTTGTAAGCCTGACGTAGGTCGACGCGATTGATTTGTTTTTTTTAAGCCTTATATTAGTCTCCAACCACATACTAGCACATTTGATATGATGAGGCGAATTCTCGTTGGTTTTTAAATACTCGTGTACATGTTTCCAGTCTTTTAACCCATCTTTGGTTAAATTAGATCGACTCGTAGGATCAAATATCTTACAAAAAAAAAAACAAAATACTGCATTAACTGTTTTGGAATACACTAACCATTTTCTTAAATATTTTTTTCTGTTACTTATAGTTCGATAAAATAACGATTATAAAAAACTACAGTTATTATTATCTTTAGGAAAATTAAAATTCTTCATATAATCAATAAACATTTTGGGTTCTGTTGTTATCAAATAATCTTTGTCAGTAGATGTTATTTGTTCAGGCCAATATGCTATATCATTGAAATTGTTCGAACTAGTTATTATATCAAAATCATTTAAATCGATATTTTTTGGATCATTCGTGAGTAGAAATTATATATTAGGAATATTACTACAGTCTTCGTCATTACTAGAACTATTAGTAAAATCGTTTATTTCATTAGAATTATCTTCTAATTCACTCTCAAATGGCATATTAGGGTTTTGTACGTTGATATTAGATTTGAAAATGATGAAATTTTTGGACATTTTTCTACCTGTAATTGCTGTTCTAGTTTTATTTTATGATTTTGATAACCACTAGGTTTTTTTGGTGCCATTTTTTGTCTAATAATTAATATATTAAATAAAATTGCATTAATTTATACTGTTGAATATAATGAACACTGTTTATAATTTCTTAATACAAAAGTGTAAATTAAAAATTGCTTCTATTATTTAAAAATACTTATATATTTTTAACCGATATCGTCGATACCGCTAATAACTGTTCAACTGCACTAGCAAAACAAAAATGTGAAAAATTGTACATCGTATTTATATATACGAACATTCCAGATAACAATAAGAGACGATAAATTTTACGATTTATAACTATAATAATAACCAACACAGTCCAACGGCGACTATCTGATATCTTAAACGTATCGACTGTAACACATATTTTTTTGGTTTTTCCGAGTTAATGATTATAAAATATTATTGTATATTATTTTTTAATTATTTGTAATATAATAATAGAAACTGGAAAGTGACGTATAAATCGCATAATCTATAAAACAATCATATAACAGAATATTCTATCATAGTGTCATGGATAATTTAGTCATTTCGATATATAATTGTCAATTTAATAAATATTGCACTAAAATTTATAAAATATTCGTATATTTAAAGCGCCCCTATAAAAGTAGCGCCCCGGGTAACCGCCCGCTTCGCCCATATCTTGGGCCGGCATTGTACACTGCATAGATCAAAATACAAGATAATTTCGCGAATTTCGAAAATGGGGGTGCTAAGCACACCCAAGCTCCCCCCCAAATTGTACCTATGTATATAGTTATATTATCTGATTATATAAATCGAATAGTGACGGTGGTACACGATGTAGTAATCCGTGTGCGGTTTACACAATCAACGAACATTATTCTTTTATAAAGTAACTTACAGTTTTATTTTTTTGTTCGTACAACTCCACTAGTCCCCTGTAATAAATATGCCGTGGGGCCCTGGATAACCGAATCCATGCCTCATACGAACGTACCTACCCAGGGCAGAATTTGTTGAACATTAGGGTTGTATGCGAAAAGTGGTTACGCGTCCACGGCGAATAGATATCAGTGAAAGTGGTGTAGGTTGAGGTGATCTATGGGTGTAGATGTCCCCCGAGAGCGTCGTTGAGATAACGCATCGAGCAAAAACGCAGGGAGTTACAGTAGCGTCCCTAGATCCTTTTATAGGTCGGGTAAGGGTGACGAACTTCATACTTTTGTAATTTCGTATTTGTGTTCACATTTATGCATTTACCTAGCACGATATAAATAAATTAATAACAATTTGAAGGAAAAAATTGGCCACGGGAGGTGCCCGCTTTATTCATCCATCCGAGGAGTTGTTGCCTAGAACTGAAGAATTACAAATCGTAACGAACAATATTGAATCATGACGACGCGGTCGAATAACGCAAGTTCACGAGCCCAAACGTATACAATACACTTTTAATGCATTATTGATACGCGTTATTCGCTCGCGTAACTCCAGCAGTACTGTCCGGCGAATCCACCGACCCGTGAGTTCTACGTGTGGGAAGAACGGGCGCCTGACCCGTCTAACAAAACGTCCTGTAAGTATACCTGGGCCGGGTGTACGCCTTCGGACCGTGTTGTTGCTCGTTAATCGTGATTTCATTATCATATTACATCATTTATTATTGGGCAGCGCATTTCAATACTCGCCACCCGTGGGCGTGTGGCATCGCGTCACGAAAAATAGAAGTCGTAAGACTGGTACAGACCTGATTTTTGTATCTGCTCTCCGTTTCCGAGCGGAAAAGCACAACATTGCGTTTCATCATTATTAGTTTTTAGTTTCAAGACGTTATTCGCCCCACGTACAAACGTTCTCTTCCTTCGACGCGCCATGCTTTATAATTTGCGCATCGTAACATGATGTCGCGAGTTTAGTATTCATCAGCATTTTTGCGATCCAAACAAAACAACGCATCGACATCCATTTGCTATCACAGTAGCACTAGCACAATCTACTTTGTACCATCATCGATTTCGCCAAATAGACCATTGGCCGAGATCTTTCATAATAGATAATAGCATAAAAATATTCTACATAGAGGAAATGTGCATCAGGAAATTCCGCTCGGTCACTCCGTCCTAAATTTAATAATTACTTTCCATTTGCAGCCATGGAATCCAATATTAGTCGCGGTACATTAATTATCAAATTCGTAGAGCTATTGAAATTTTTGTTGAATGAATAAAACCAAATAATATCTATTCGTCAACAATACACTATAGAAACCATAAATCAATGTATACAAGTACTTGCAGTAAATGCTACGTTGTTTGTGTTGATTAGTAATCCAAAAGGAATGTTCACAAAATTAAGACATACACTTACTGTTTGTTCATTCAGAATAAATTTATTTGCCAATAATTATACTAAGTGAAGAAAAACTTAACTCCTCGATATTTGGATAAATAACTAGATACATTTTAGATACACATTTTACAGTGTTTAATTTTTTTTATTAACATAAATATGAGAAAATTTTCTTCAGCCCTACTGTTACTATTGACTTATTATTTCTTTATAATTCACTAAATAAATATAATACAAATGTATTACCTAATTTATTTGTTAAATTGTTAATATATATATATATATTTATTATGTATATATACATTCAGTGAAAAGGAAACTGTATCTGGTAAATTATAATTATTATTATATGGACTTATTTCAATAAAATAAAAGTTTATATCAAGTAATAGAAAAACAAATTTATATAAAAAAAAATACACACACACACAAATAAAGCATTATGCAAGTAAACATTTATTTCAATTTTATTTTGAACTATAATATGTTTTTTAGGCAAATTATGTTACCTTAATGCTTTAATTCTTTTGAAACAAATTTATATCTGAAAGAGAAAAAATTAATTAATTAAAATATTATCCACGAGAAATTATATTATTTCTTACATTATCAACAGCATCTGCTTCCTCGTCATCACTGATATCATCTCCAAATTCAATATCCTCATCCAATCCATCGTCAACAAATGTGACTGTATCATTGATGCGAACTAAAAAATATTTTGTAAGGGTTTATTATATAGTAACATTTTTTTTTTAGAAAAATTAAAAAACCAATTTAAATAATTAGTCTCACCAGTTTCTGGAAATTCTCCATATGTTTTCAAGTTACGAGCTTCATCTGGTGTATACTTCAAAATGACATCAGCTTTAGTGTCTTGATATTCACGTAAACCTATTAGTACTATATCACCTTGATTAATCCACACCTAAAATATAATGTTCATTAAAATAATAATCATCATAATTTATAGTTAAATAAATTAAAAAAAATTTACTCTAATAGATAAAAACAAAAAATAAATAGACTATGAGTAGTAAATGCCATCTTAAAATTTATCGAATACAAATTAGATTAATATAATTGAAATCAAAAATGATTATTATTTAATTTAAATTTATTATTTTTAAAATATAAATATAAAATTATACTAAAACTTGTATTTTCAAATTAAATAAATATAATTCATGGATTTTGTAACATATTAATAGTTATAAAATAAATATTTATAAAACCTTTTTCCGAAGTTTTCCTCGAATGTGGCAAAGTCGTTTAACACCATCAAAGCACATAGCTTCTAGACGTCCATTTCCCAACATTTTAGTAACTTGAGCATATTCTGAAAAATACAATGGAAAAATAATTAAATATGTGTTCCATGTCATAACAATATAAGTAATTTCTGAGTTTATTAACTCAAACTAGAATACTTGGCAATATTATTAAATCATTTTATAGTTGTCCTCTATAGATTATCAAATTTTTAACTATTAACTTAGAACAAATCATTTTCAATTTTTTTTTTTTTTTAAGGTGTATTTATTAATTACTAGCCTAGTATTAAAAAAGTTTTAAATACCTGCTTAATACATCAATAATATTTATCAATGGAACAGGTGCCAACAACGGCCAAAATGAAAATAAAAACCCACTAGTTACTAACTGGAGATACATTGATTTCCCAAAATTTGAATGAGGTGCTGGAAACTAGATAATAAAACAAATTTTAATGAGAATCTTTTAAAAACATTCCAGGTTTTTTTGTAGGAGCACAATATTAAACAACAGAAGCTATCCAATAGTAAGAAAAATAAATTTATCTATGAAATATGTTATACTAATTACCAAATTAAATACTTATGTATATTAAAACCATACAAATAAATAATAATTAATTTTCTCAGAATCGATAAATGTTTACTTTATTAAAAATGTATACAACAGATTATTCATTACTTTCATATTTATAATATTATAACAGTTACGCTACAAACTAAAGATGAACAAAACATTTCTACATTTTGTTTGAACTTACAAATCTACTTTTACATATAATTAATATATATTTATATAATTAATTAATGACCAATATGATAAATTGCTTATCATTTAGATAAGAAAATGGGAATCATGTAAACATAACCTAACAATTTAGTAAGAAATAGTTCAACAGTGAAATCATTTTTAATTATTTAAATATATAAAATATATAAAGTAATATACTTAAGAAATAATGTAGATATAACAGGTAATTGCTCAATCATAATAAAAATGAAAATACTTATATAAATAATTTCAAAGTTTAAGTTAAATTTAATATAATTTAAAAACAACAAAATAATTGTGCGCAGATATTATTTAAAATTGATACAATTTTATTATTTCTAATAATTATAATAAGAAAACATCTCGTGTGAAATAAATTTAAAAATAAACGTACATCAATAAAAATATTTTAGCTGTAATACAGTTTAAGTTATTAATAAAATTGATAAGTTATTTTATTTAGTTGGTTTAACTTTTAATTTTAATATAACTGATATGATGGTTAAATTTTATTTTGTACGTATAAATAATAAAGTTCAAGGTTAATATATTAATTACTTTTTTCAAATAATTTTTGTTTTACATTTTAATGTATAATAAAACATATTTATTACTAAAAGTATTAATGTTATTAATAAAGTTATATGTAAGGAGTTTAGAGCACTTTTATTTTTAATTTAATAATGACGAAATCACAATTTAATCATAAAAAAAATATGTGTACTAACATATTTCAAGTTATTTATGAAGAATCATACATTTAAAATAAAAATTTTGGTGAAGATTGATATTTTATTATAATTACCTTGCCCATCTTCTTTGAATACTAATTCACGCTTCTCTGTTTCATTTTCGTTCTTACCACGCCTACGATTTTTACCTCCCTTTCCTGGAGGTACGAAAAAAAAACAATTAGGAGACACACAAAGAAACACAATAAATGAATAACGCTAAAAGTATTGTAACAATTTACTTACCTTTATTCTTCGGCATAGTTAGAATATAAATTAAACAATTTTAAGTCTTTACGTAAATAAATAGTTGTTTAATTAATAAAAACAACCTAAGGGTTGATAAAAACGCGTTTTCTAAAAATTCAGAAAACCCAAAAAGAACGCGTTATCAAAATCCACCAATCCCCCTTTGATCGTATAGGTAAATTGGAGAGCAAAAGCGGTTACTCCATGGTTACTAACACTGAAACACACAAATTACAACTTAACCAAAGAGTATAGAAAATGTTGAAATATTTTGACCGCCAAACATATTTTCCGCTTTTCAATAGTTATTTTGAGCAATAAATCACTACAAGACCACAAGGACTCTTTTTCATTTTTACTTTTCAAACATTTTTCTATAATAATTTTCCGTTTAACTTTAATCTTAATATCGTGATGATAATATATTTAATGAAACGCCACGAAACAAACTTGTCGATTATTATTGATTTATACAACTTAATTGCATCACCTACCTACTAAAATCGTAATAAACGAGTGCCTAGATCGATCAACAATATCGTGTCTTAGACGTCAACTATACTGACTGTACTGATTAAAATCTGTCCCCCATAATCTATTTTAATTTTTTTTTTTAAGGCTCAACTGGTACATATATGTACCAATATATTGTCCTCATTCTTGTTTAATTGTTTAATATTTGGTTTGAAACATTTTAATTAACAATACATAACAATGATTCCACAATTTATAATATGTATTTTAATATTAATTATAGGCAGTAATTTCATATTTCGAAAATTAAATATATATTTCAAACACTTGGAAGTTTAACAGTTTTGGTAGTACCCACTACGTGCAGTTGAGTATTATTTATTTGAGGTATCAGAATATTGAATATAAATTCATTGTTTGTAGTTACACAAGTGAAAAATGTTTTTATACATAAGTCTTACTGTTCAACATATTACGCCTAATTAGTCGTTGTTATTAAATTATTTACCCTTCCATATTTCTTAACCCGTAATTAACAATACACATACCAAATCAAAATTTATATTTTTAGTATGTATTGTACCGACCAGTGGTGGATTTAACGGTCATTTAGTTGGCGAATGCCGACGGGACCCTTAAATTGTTTATTGAGGCCCAGAAAAATTATAGTTAATTTTTTTTAAATTTTACCACAGAAAAAAAATTATAGTACAAATTGTAATATCATTTACAATTACCATTTTTATTTATAACAAAATAATTTAAATATACAGGAAATACTCCAAAATACTCAGAATACTTCAAAAATAGAACATTTTATAAATGAACAAAGTAAAAAAGATTGAATATAGATATAGTTAGAAATACTGTTAATATTGATTATAGAATTTTATATAATTTCCGTGTATGAACACTATACGAGTATATGAACAATGATTTATTATCAATTTTGCTGCATCACGTTATTTCTAATGTATTATTTTCCATTTTCGTATCATGGAAACGCAAGCAGCTTTGTAAAATGGGGCTAAGAATTTTAGTGATACATTTATTACAAGGCCCTTCTTTTGGATTTGTCGACTTCATTTAAACCTTTAAATCCGCCACTGGTACCGACCACTTTATTTAACTAAAATAAAACGCAATATTAAACAGATTAAAATTGTTTACCAAATATTAAATACACACAAATGCTCTATGAATTTTCAAGTATTTTTTTTTACTTGATAGTATTTGAAATAGAGGTTGCTATTAACAATTTAGAGGATATCTGTAGAATATCGGTTTTAGGAGCTATAGAAATATTTTATTTTTAATGAACATTGAATATTATATTCATTAATTAATTTTCCAGAGTTAAAAATATAATTGGAGATTCGCGTAAACAGTACTGTGTATATTTACCGTATGATATACGTATATTGGCGTATATGTGCACATTTATATTTTATATTACATTCTCGGTAAAATATTATTTAGCGCTCCAAATTTATGCATAACTACAGGATATATGTTCACGATAACCGACGGAGATAACAACAAAATAACAATTCCTCATATCCGCGTAGTAGACAACTTGCATGAAGTAGGGAATTTCAGTAAAAATATAAGGTTTGTCGAATTTATTGATTATTATTGTGTAGCCGAGTCGCGTCAAACAACTCAGTGTGTAGTTAACGGTGATAACCACCCACTGATATTTTATCATTATCTTATCAGTGCTCAATGGATTGAAGTCTACAGCAATTTTCGCTTGTTCTGTATATATCTATCGGCAACTGAACGTCAAGTATTTCGCAAATAAAAAAACTACATACTTTGTGGATTAACAATATGCGATAGTCACGGATTTAAATCGTTTGTACCAGTCTTGTTGTGGTATCATGTACACGTATAACTATTCAATTAATATTCCAAAAAAAATTCAATTCAATCACATTGTTATGTGTTGAGAAGCTAGTTCCATATTGTTTGAAGGTCCTTACAATCACTACGCAAAATGAAGTCGCCACGGACACTTCTATTTGGCCTGCTTCTCGTTTTTATCTCTTGTCGAGGGTTTCATGGTAGCGTACACAATCGAAAATATTTGTGCCCAAAGATCTATCCTTGGGTGTTTGTTGGTTACAGACCAATGAGTAAGTGTTGTTTTTGAAAATCCAGTAGGATAATACAAAGCTTAACCCTGTCAGACTGAAAAATTCTGAAATTTTTCAAACATTTTTCAGGTAAAGAAAATGCTGGAGTGTACAATAAAATGCCAAACGTTACATTTGATGGATGTATTGTCAAGTGTTGTGAATCAGATAATTGTAATGCTGTATTTATGCATAAGAATGATTGTTTTACGGTTTGTTATAGCTGTTAAGTACCATATTGTAACTTAGAAAACAATTGATTCATATTAATGCGTATGGCTGATCTAAAGTTCATATTATAATATACATGGTTGATCAACTAAGCAATTAAATATAATCTAATCATTTATGTTTTATAAGAATTTTTTACAATATCATATTTTTCTTATACTTTTCTGTTTATTTCTATGTATGTAGATAATACGTAAACCAAAAATATAAACTGTTATTTTAAATTAATTTAAATTAAATTTTTGTATTAGGTGATATGTAATACAAATTATGACTGTGGACCAGTATATGCTAAAGAACAAATACCAAATGTAGAATTTAAGATGATTTTAGTTGCTCCAGTTCCTCCTACTAGTAATTGGAATGATATAGTAGATAATTCATTGGAATCCAAGTAAATTTTTATATAATTTTCTATATTTTCTTTTATTAATATCATAATTTTCTTGCAAAAATTCAGTTTACTTTATTAACAATGTTTTTATTATAATTAAAGTGATTCTAAAGAAGATAAAATATACTCATTGGATAAAATTTGTGAATCAAATAATGACTGTACAGAAAATGAATTTTGTGATTCTGTAATTGGTATATGTATTTGTGCTAATGGTTTCCAACTAGACAACTCGAAACAATATTGTTTGTCAACTACTGGTAATATGGCATCAGTATTAAACAATTCTGGTTATGATATTACAGATGTAGCAAATTATATTTCCTCTGAACAACCACAACAGTTACAACAATCTCAATTGGACACTTTTAAAAAAGTAAATGTAAAATATTTATTATTTATTATAAGTTTTATAAAAAAATTATTCAAATCTTCAGGTATTAGCTGAAAGTGAATCCCAAAAACCACCTGAAATCAAACATTTAGTTGTTTCTGTCTTGTCAAAAACTTTACGACTTCCAGAAAATGAAGCTACACTTTCTGCTTATACTGTACCAGCAGATGATACTGGTATTCATTCATAATTACATACTATTTATTTATTATTTTATAACTTATATTCTTATTCAACATAGGACATAGTTATCAGTATGAATGGTCTTTGATTTCAAAAACTCAAGGATCTGGACAGGCTGTATCAATGAATGATCAGAATGGAAGCACATTGAAACTTTCCCATTTAGTTGAAGGTCTTTATACTTTCAAGGTCACTGTTACGGGAACAGGAACTTTTGGAGAAACACAAGCTAATGTTACAGTTCTACCACGTAAATTTTGCTTGTATATTTCTATAACACATAGTTTTGAATGCTATTTTCAACAGCACAAAGAATTAATACACCACCAAAAGCTGTAATACTGCCATCATCTTTGGTAGTCAAGTTGCCCAACACAGTAGCAGTACTTGATGGTTCTAGCAGTCTTGATGATACTGGTATTGTCCATTGGCGTTGGGAGTTACAAAAAGGTCAATTAGGATATAGACCTCATTTGCCCCCTGATACTCCAACATTACAATTAAATGATCTTCAAATTCCTGGAAACTACACATTTAAGTAAATAGTTGTTCATTTGATGTCATTTTTACTGCTACTCCTAATGCATTAGTTTGTTATTTTTTCATTTTAATTTAATGATAACATTGTAATTAAAACAAATGAAGACACAAATATTGAGATAAATAAATTTTAATTACTTTTCTAGCCTTGATATATGTTGTATTCTTTATAACTGTAATTTTTTTATTTATAATTCTTAAAATAATAAATTAATATACATTTTTTCATATTTAATAAGGTTAACTGTTATGGATGCATGGAATGCAACTGACTCAACTACTGCTAATATAACTGTTATGCGAGTACCTGACTATCCACCAGAAGCAAATGCTGGTCAAGATATGGTGGTTTATTTACCAGTAAAAAATGTGACTCTAAATGGAAGTTTAAGTACAGATGATCATGGTATTGTTGCATGGGAATGGACAAAAAGTTCTTCAGATCAAAACAAAGCTGTTGATATACAAGTAATTATATAATATACCCAATCAAATAAACAGTAAAATCATTTATTTATACATATTTAGTAAATATTACTTAATATAAAAACCTTTAGGATACTCGTACACCATATCCTCGGTTGTCTAATCTAGAAGAAGGTTTGTATACTTTTGTATTGAGGGTTACTGATAATGCAAATCAAACATCAAGTCCATCTGAAGTACATGTCTTTGTCAAACCACCAACTAATAAACCTCCTGTTGGTATGTGTACTTGTAATTATGTGCTTTTAAGATTTTATTTTATTGTAATTTTTACTTTTTTTTTTTTAGCAATTGCTGGTAAAAATTTGACATTATCACTTCCACAAACTTGGGCGTTACTTGATGGCTCAAAAAGCAATGATGATATTGGAATACAAAAATGGAAATGGTACCAAATTAGGTATAAAAGTATTTGCATTGGAACTATTTTTATTTTATTTTATTAATTCATTTATCATTACAGTGGTCCATCAAATGTGCATTTCAATAAAGGTAATGAGTCTAGAACAAATGTTACTGAGTTAACTAAAGGCATATATATAATTGGATTAACTGTCACTGATGGAAATGGGAATAATGCATCTGATATTGTTAAATTGACAGTTTACCAAAGTAAGTAGATACCGAGTCAAACTAATGTTTAAATTTCGATTATGGATGTACAAATGAAATAGTTTAAATTCTTAGTTACTTTACTTCTTCAATTTATATTTAATTTTGTTTCTCTTATCTTACAATTAACAATTTTATTTTGAAAATAAACATTATAATTATGATTAGTGGAAATAAAAATACTTTTATTAAAAAAGTAATTTAGGAAATAATACATATACATATCTAATGAGCCTTAGCAATCATATTTCAATTTTTAATGTATGTACTTTTATTAATATTTAATATTATTTAATATACATTTATGTAATTTGTACTCTCAAAAATGAATAACAATTGTTTTTTTTTATATAATTAGAATGTATAATTATTGTTGTATATTTATGTATTTTAAATAAATATCTTTTCTTTTGTTTTTAGATAAAAATACCCCACCAAAAGCTAATGCTGGTGGAGATAAGACTGTCATATTACCAGTGAGTGCTATTATTTTAAATGGCTCAATGTCATGGGATGACTTAGCTATTGTAAAATGGGACTGGACTCGCGAACCAAATTCGTTAGCTGCTGGAAGAATAATTTTAAATACAGATCATTCACCAGTTTTGATTGTATGTACATTTTATATTTTTATTACTTTGTGAACTTAACCATAATTTGAATAGTTTCATATTTAATTTTTTTTAATCTACCATTTACTTTTTCAGATAACAAACATAGTTGAAGGGAGATATGTGTTCCGTTTAAAAGTTAGTGATGATCAAGGAGCTTCAAGTGAAGATACTGTTTCAGTTAATGTAAAACCTGGTATAGTGAATTTATGATAACTTATTAATATAATAATTATATAAAAACTTATTTATTTTCAGATCCAATTGCGAAGTCAATTGTAAGTTTAACATTATATATCGAGGCAAGTCATTTAAAACAAAATCAAGCAGATGAAGTAATATTAAAATTAGGAATGTTGTTACCTTCTGGTAGTCAATTAAAAGTTAGACAATGGACTGAAGAACAAAATTCTAAAAGAGCACAGTTACATTTTTTTGTCAATGATAATAAAAATAAAACACTTCCTGGACCTGATGTAGTTTCTATGTTAAAAGCTAAACTTAAACAAGATTCATCTCTTTTACAACTATCAGTTGATAATATTCAAACTACAGTCTGTCAAAATAACTGTTCAGGTTTGTTTAAAATAAGATCTTTATTAGTAAGCTTTTATAAATTCTATTTATTTCCATGAAAATGTGTTCCTTAATATTGCAAATTTTTAATATTGTTATACATAATTAGTATTTACCAATAGTATTTATTATAGGACACGGAATTTGCGAGGAAGAAACTCGTGTTTGTGTTTGTGAAGCATTTTGGATGCACAATTTGTATAGGACATTATTTGGAGATGGTGAATCTAATTGTGGTAAATTAAATATTACTTGTTTTTCAAACAATTGACTGCATTTTGAAATATTTTTATACTTGTTTTTCAACTAATTCTTAAGATACTTTTTTATATTAAAATCAATGCAAACCTTAATTAAATTAATATATATTTTCTTTAGTTAACAATAAATTAAAGTATATATCCTGCATAATGACACTTTCTAAATTTTGTCTTAACATATACTTCTAGTTTTTTTATTTATTAACATCTACACATTTTTTAATCAACTTCAATGTTTCAAATAATTAATTTTTTGTTTGTTGTGTTAGAAACGTATTATTATTATGTATTTTTTTTAATTTTTTTTTTAATTGATCCTTAAGTCCGGCAGCTATAGCCATTAGCTGTTAGTCAAGTTATTGTGGAATTTTTAGTAGTGTTTTGAAACGGTGGGTTTGTAACACGTGAGTGTTTGTGTTTTGGCAGAATTTCGAATGGGCACCCATAGGTTTCTGCCATGCCTGGTTGGGGGATGGTGCCCTCTCTCTCCAGATAGTTGTCTGCCCAGAAAGAAGTACCGCCAGTGACCGAGGTTCAAATCAGTGACGGTTCGCGTTACAACCCACGCTTTAGTCCGTTCGAACACTCCACGTACTTCATATTATTATTACACTATTGTTATTCTCTTTGAAAAACTGATTATTCCTGGAAAGATAACTAATCAAAACTTAGCTCTAAACTCAATAAATCATTTCCATAATGCAATCTATTACGCCGCTCAAAATTGTACCACACAAAATCAGAAATCAGTTTCTATAAATAATAATAATCAAACTCTTCCTATGATATTAAACTTCATAAAATTGAATTACAGAACCAGACAGTTATCTTAATGACGATACTGAAACAAATTGACTGGTAAATTGTACCCTTTCTGAATTTGACTACTCAGTCCAAAAAATGCTATCTTATACTATCCCATATGAAGTACAAAAACTAATAACCGAACTTCTAAAAAAAAAATATCACCGGGTTTCGATAAAATTACAATCATAATAATAAAAAAACCTACCAAAAAAGCTATTCTCAAAAAAAATTCTTATGAAAATATTTAATTATGTTTTTAAAAAATTTATATCGATCCCAAGGAATGAAAAAATGCAGTTATTATTACAATAAAAAAAACAAGAAAAAGATAAAATTTATCCTTCAATGGCTCTCAATGATAAAGTATTTGTAAAAATGATAGATTCCGTTAATATATTTATATTATCTAGTAAATTGGTAAAAAATGTTGCTGTTGGTTTTTTTTAATAATATTATAATATTAATTATATTATTAATATTTAATATCTGGTGCTTAATGTAAATATAACATGGATTTTAAATGGCTTAAAATGTATCTGTAAAAATATATGTATGTATATGTATAATAATATAAATAATATATAAATAAATATATATAATTTTTAATTTTATATTTTTTACAGAATGGAGTATTTTATATGTAGTCATCATATTAGTTGCAATGTTTGTTACAACAGTGTTTTGTTTTTGGAGTATTGCTTGTTTCTGCAATCGCATTTGTTCATCGAAACAAAAAATAAAAAAATATAAGCTCGTTGGAGTTGATGAAGATAATCACTCAATGAAAAGTAAGATTTATTTCTGTTTTTAGTTCATTTTTTTTCTGTATAATATATTTTAAATTGTTTGTTTACTATAGCTTCAATGACACATTTAGAATTATCTGACACAGACTCAGATTCAGATGTGTTGTTAGATGTGAGAAAAGCCAAATTGAATCAAAGCAACAACAAATTTTTGAGTTCATCTCGGTACAAGAAAAATAAGAGGGTTAATGCTTAAAATTTGGAGTTTTGGAAACCAAACAAAAATATAATCCTTATTATTCATATTTAAACATCATCAACGACATTATATAAACTGCGTAAAGAGCTTTATAATTATAAAAAACAAGATATTACAATCTGGTTAAACTTTTATAGCACAAAAGAACATTTATGAGTCATGTTAAAAAATCTGCTTGTTGATGAACTGATTATATTTTAATACATTTATTTATGATATTATTTTAATATTATATTCTGAAGAAAAGCTTTATAGCATATTATTAAGTATCTCAATACCTGTATACTATACTTGTCTAGTCATGCTTGTTTTGTTGTATTGCAAGTTATGTTGTGACAATAAGTAACACGATTTTCCTGATTATTAACTTAAATAGTATTATTTTTATTCTTTCAAATGATTCCTGTTCTAGATATAGTACAATACAATTTGACTATAAATAAAAAAAATAAAAAAAATTAGTCAATAAGTTATAAACCATTGTTGAATGTTGGATTATATTTAATTAATGCCCAAGACATAACCTTATACAACAGTTCATAGCATGTGGGAATTATATAATTTATACTATTATTTTCTATCTACTTAAACATTGGATAAAATTAAAACTGTCTAACTGTCATACCGAGTAACAATTGTTATATATGTGGTTTAATGGAACTGTGAATGAATTGATCCATTGAAATTTGTAAAAATATCAATTGTTTAAATCTCGATACGCAAAAACAATAAAAAATCATAAAAATATAAAATAAAGAATACCACATACGATTATAATTAATAATTGCTTGACATTGGCAATATATAAAATCAGATTGGTGTTGTTAAATTTATACCGATATTCTTGGGCCGGCTATTTTTAAAAAATCGAACTAGAAACACCATAATTGAACATATTTGACCAACAAATAAATTAGGAACCCGCGTCTGGTTTTGGATGATATGCTACAAAAATCACTGAAGATAGCGATTTGCAAACGTTCGAATAATTTCGAATTGCAACTGGTGTGATGCGATGGAAGTATTTTGTGTTAACTTTTAATCTGTAAAAGGTAAGGGTTTACAGTAATTGTCTAGGAGACGAAGGGTACTAACTTAAGATCTTATTACATTTGTACACTATAACTTGTCTATTCAAAAATTTAAAATTTTTACATATATTTCCTTTTAAATAAATACTTGAGCAATATAAAAGTAACTCATATTTTTAAATTTAATTCTATAACTATAATATTATTTACAAAATAAAATAAAATATATATTTAAGTCTTTTAGTAACTTTTTATTGGATTCCAGTTAATCATATTTTCAATGTATTTCTGCGACCGTAACTTCTATAATAGCAAGTCTCCTCAAAACTTCTTGGGTGGCATCCTTAATTTCATTGTATTGATGTAAGACCTTCATAATTTCATCTTTTTTTTCTCCAACATCTCTATTTCTATATCTAGTATTTATTCCAATTCACCTAAGTGTTGCTGGTTGTCCGATTCAGTTAAATTTCTAATTATTATATTATCATCGTTATCCATGATTCTACTTTGACTGACTTGTATCTGCAGATGTAGACTTATCTTTCAGTATTCCCTAATGCAAAGAAGTTTGTTCGTATTGTAATCCGTATCCTTTCATACAATATTTTATACATTCAGTGTACAATTCAAATACTTGTTGACACTCTTGATTGTTATAATGTTCTTTCATATAATGTTCGATAAACCAGAGTATATATATTTTATACAAAAAATGATATAAATGTGTAAACAAACACGGGGGTTGAAATTCTCGGATATAATAGAAATATAGAATTTAAATTTTGTTCATCGATGCTTAAAGGGAAATCTATAGAAACCAAATTGTATAAGCATTACAAGCTATAGTAAGCTAAGTATATTATTATATTATAATGTCTTGAATTAAATAGGTTTAGATGTACATTTTTGTTCTGTTACAGTTTTTTTCAATTATAGACTATAATAATTAGTGTCTCCAACAGTGCCGTTCTAACTGACAATAACGTCCTAAGGCAACAACATTTGATGTCCCTGAACTACCCTAATTTTTTTTGTTGTAAAATTAACTTCACATTTTTAGTGTATAATTTACCTCATTCCTTACTTTGTTTAATATTTAATAATTAAGGTGCCTATTAATTTATTATTATTATTACCTATAATTATTATTATTGTAATCATATTTATTTTATTTTGATGTTATTTTAAAATTGACATTTTTGGGAAAATTAATTTTTTCACCAAACTATAAATAAAAATTATAAAAATTATTAGGATTTATAAATTACATATAATTATGAGTTATACATAATACATCAACATAAGCATTCAGGGTAAATATATTTAACCTTTTATATTTATGAGATAACATAATAATAATAAATAATAATGTTTTTATAATCTTATATTACAGGTGTAATATTCCATCATTTGAACATTATGAACATTATTTGAACATTATTAACTCTTTTTGATTAAACAAAAGATTATTTCTTTGATTTAAGTTTTCCAAACTTTTCAACCAAATTACTTTCTGCGTTCCTGAATAGGTATTGTGTGTATAAAATTATCGTGATACGAGTAAATAAGGTTTGTTTTCTGAATTATCCGATACATTCAAACTCGATTTATTATTAGATTTGATTAAAATGTATAATGAATTTATTATAATATAATATACATATATTTATTATGTATTTGAATAATATTGTATTATTAAGGGTTCTGATTTTAAAGAATTTGCTAATGTTATAGGATAAAAATACTGATAAAAATAGCAAAATGAGGTATAAATTTGTTTTATGTACCAGGGACTCCAAAAATAAAATTTTATTTTGATATTTTTTTGCATATGTAAAGTATTTTAGATTTTTAGTATTATTTTCGAAGGTTTGGTGCTATTATTCGTCAATACACATGTGGCGATGTAAACAACGCACCGCGAATCGTCCAAGTTGCTTACAATATTGTCAGTTGATAAGGGAAATCCCATGTTCTAGAATATTTGATGATTATCTCGTTAGGGTAATTTCGAAAATGTTCTAGAATAATCGATGCTTATATATACCAAGTAGTCAGATGCTCAATTAGTCAGTCCGTGAGTACAATTCACTATACGCCGTGAATTATTTTCCACGGTATATTCGGCAATTTCTCCGTAGTTGTAACGTGTATCGATATTTTTTTTCACATTAATGTACATACATATTTATGTAATGTAGTGTTTATTTCAATTTAATTAAATTGTGAGTAATTTTTATTACCTAAATCCCACATACATAATAATATAATGCTTCTTCTTCATGTCCCGATCCGTTTCGGATGTTGGCGATCATCATTGATATATGAGTTTTATTAGTTGGACTCCGGAATAGTTCTACTGAACTTTTGTCGAACTATGTTCTGAGACTGGCTAACCACAATGTTCTTCTTCCTGGCGATCTTTTGCTACCTATTTCACTTTGTAAGATGCATTGGAAAATATCATATTTAGGTACACTTGTTCCGCATAATATGTCCTAAGTACTGGTGTTTTCTACACTTAACTGTTACCATTAATTCCTTTTCTTTTCCCATCCTACGCAATACCTCAGTATTGGTAATTTTCTCAATCCATGATATTCTCAAAATTCTTCTGTATAGCCATAGTTCAAATGCATCTAACTTATTCGAAGTAGCTTTGGTTAGAGTCCTAGTTTCTGTTCCATACAAGATCTGAAACCACGTAGCATCACAGTAGTCACATTATTAAATGTAGAGATAGGTTTTGGCTCTTGAAAGATGCACTCATTGAATTCAATACATTTCTGACTTTTCCAATAAGACACTATTTTTTCTGCGTTGTCCCATTATTCGTTAATGACGGTGCCAAGGTATTGGTATTTATATACTCTTTCTATTCTAGTTTGATTTATACTTATGTTACCTCCTGTGATGTCTTCCTTATAATCATATATTTAGTTTTGTTTGTATTTATATCTAATCCGTATCTCATACTGGACTCGGTAATTTTATCCATAAGTATTTGACGGCCCTCAATAGTGCCCGCAAAAACTATGGTGTCATCGGCATAACATAAGTTGTTTAATCTTGTGCCGTTTATAGATATTCCTTCTTCTACCTCATTTAGAGCTTCTCTAAAGATATATTCAGATTGAAGATTAAACGAGATGGGTGACAAAATACAACCCTGTCTCACTCCACTTCGAATTTCAATCTAATCTGTTGTTTCGCCTTTCATTTTGAGGACCGCTGTTTGTCTCCAATATAAGTTGGCAATTATTCCAAGGTCTTTTTCATCAATTCCTATTTCTGCTAAAATTTTAATCATTTTATCATTTTAACACGATCGAAAGCCTTTGGTAATCTGCTAAACAGACAAATAAATTGCAATTTACATCTCTGCATCTTTGGAAGAGGACCTGTACACTGAACAGTGCCTTTCTTGTGCCAACCGCATTCAAAAACCCAAACTGATTACGTGGTATTTGTTCTTCACATAGCCTGTATATTCTCTTATGAATAATCTTTAAAAACAATTTCAGAAGATGATTCATCAGGCTGATCGTTCTATAATCCTTGCATGTTTTTTGCGTTTGATTTTTTAGACAAGGCAATAAACTCGGATTTTATCCAATTCTCAGGAATTATATCTGACTTATGAACTGAATTGAATATTTCTGTGATCCATCTAATTTTCTCATCATTCAGTAATCTGATGAACTCGGAATGTTTTTGATCAGGACCAGATGCTTTGCCTTCTTTCACTTGTTTAATAGCTGATTTCACTTCATCAAATAATATGTCTGAACCCGTCCAGTCTCCAATTTTAGGTTCCTGTTCTGCTCTAACATCTTGAAATAGTTTTTGTAAATATGTCTAATAAATAATGCTTTATATAGAATTTACTATAAATATTATGAATGTGCATAGGTTAGAAGCGTAAAGTAGATGTTGTTAATTTACTTACCTCACAGTAAACCAATGTATTATTCAGGTGTTTTATAATATCACATACGTATAACAGTAGCATTGGTAAGTGGTTGGGGGGGGGGGGTTCAACACACCCCAAATTGACAAAATCCCGGTTAGTAAAGATTATTTACCTACGCCCTTGATGAATAGATAATCGAAGCTATGCTTCATATATAATATATATATACATGTTAAATATTATGCTGGTAGTATTACACAGTAATGAGTGTTGGGATCATGTTATGTAATATGCGTTTCGACGAAAATATTCATGGTCCCATTCCGAACAACTACTACGTGTATTTTAAATATGTACCAAATGTTAATATTATTCACCGGAACTAGATGGAAATATTTAATTTTTTTTTTTTTGATTATTTAAAAA